ACATGGCCAAAGGTAAACACATAAAAGGAATCTCATTGAGACAAAAGCTCAGGCATCTGATCTGAATACAAGGTCCCATGTTTTTTCAGCTTGTCACAGATTTCTTTATACAGTCATCCGCTTCAAGCACAGCTCTTTCTCCCAAAACAGCCTACAAGTAGTATTATAAGCATGTAATATACTCCAGCACGACAGTGCAGGTTTACTGTACAGTCGTTTGGCAACAGCAGAATAACACTTTATAAGCAAAATTTGCTTTTGTATTTCCCGACAGCACATTTTTCACTTCAGCCAACATGGTAGTGCATTTCTCACATGTACAACTATTAACAATAGTAGATATAGCAAAAAATGAGGATTGTAATAGAAAGACTAACTAAATCTACAGTTATGTAATACAATAAGCAGGTAATATTTACCAAACAAAGATGTTCTGCTGTAGCTGTAGATGTTTGTGCTCTCCACTCTCATATTCCTCATGTTCCAGATCCGAAATTGATACTTAGCTTAACAATTTGATTCCAGAGCCTTGACACTGATGCAAGGATGAGGTAATGCTCACAAGTTGTGGATGCACTGCCCAAAAGAATTGTTGACAATATACATACTCTTGTTTTTAGCCAATCCCTGTGTAAGGCGCATGTGTTCTGATAGTGTGTGTGTGTGTCAGTCCATGCATTTCTCAGGTCTAAAAGACTACTAATAAGGGATTTTCAGGCAGAATTAAGGAAAACAATTAGGAATAATAACATCATTATATTATCTGCTATATCAATTACTATAATTCATGGACGTGATTTTCAGGACATTAGTTTATATTCATAGCACTTGCACTCATTTTAGTTGAGATTCTGCTTTTATGCCTATGATTCCTGATCACATCCCTGATTAATGCTGTTATTGCGTTAATGTCAGCATCACTTTTGTCCTAATTGTCTATACAAGATTAGTCTCCATGGAAAAAAAAAAGTACTTAGCAATGATGCACGTTTGTTTAGAAAACTGTCCCCTGTGCTTGTTTTTCATGAAATTGTACATATACCAGCCATCACTCGCTGATGGTCAAGTGATTTCCTCCATAGGTGGGCAGGTCTTTGCTGACGCCTGACAGCCAAGTGGTGGGAGGACAACATCTGTCCAGTCTTTCTAGGCTATATGTTAAAGAGCGAGATCAAGAGTCCTCAGAGAGTTATGATTGGCTAAACTCCAGATTGAAAATCAGGGCAGATCAGCTTTGGTGAGTGGTAATTTGTCTCAGAAGGAGATGACAAGCATTTCCATAATCTTTCAGAGGGGAAGGAATATATGTCTTGACTGGCTGTAAGGCACTGACTCGGGTGTGGTCAGGAGAGGTCAGTCATGCTGAGGCTCATGGGTAATCCTGGACGGAGGTAAGCCACCGGGACACGACCATTCTCACTGGTCGATCCTGTGATGGATAGACGAGCTTTGGAGCGCATTGCATCTGTGAATTTCATCTGTACAAGGAAAAAAATATGTTTGTTATATTTTAATCATCACAGCAAAACTAGATAGAAAACTACTTCTGGTCAATCATGGGCTAATGCTGAACACGAACACTGCCAAAATTGTTCATTATTATGGGAAATATTCTTATTTGCTTTCTTTCCAAGTGAGATAAGACTGATGTGAAATGTAAAAACAGGGAAAAATAGGGAAAGCTATAGTTCCTCAACTGTTTGTTTAAGAAAAAGGCAGTGCATCCATTCATCTGGCACTTCTGAGGTGTCTCTAGCCATACAGCAGTTTACCAGGCACAGTCTGTTCACTCAAGACAAGTGTTGACAACAAGGGGTTGACAACAAGGGGTTGTATTTAAAATGAAAAGAGAGCATAGACGCTTATTTCCTAAAATGTTGGACTATTCCTTGTTACAACCATGTGAAAATAAATGAGGAGTGGTGTAAAAGTGTAATGTGCAATAGAAATATGACCCACTTTAATGAATATAGAATGAAACATGAGCATGATGAATGACGGTAAAATACACAAGTTATTATCTCTGCATCACGTTTGAAATACTTACAGCTGATTGCTGTCCCCGCTGGAAATCTAAGCAGTTCCCTCCTGAATTTATTTCATGATAGCGTTGCACACACCTTACATTTACTGGTCAAGTATCAACAATCTGTTGTACAGTATATCCTGTGTGAAGTAAATATTAATGCTATATTCAGGTGTAGGATTTCCAGATCTCCATAGACATAACTAACTGCCGATGTCAGTCATACTAATCTTGTAAGGAATCAGAAAACCTAACTGCATTGAATCCATATTACCTGAGCTTAATGGAATGCTATAACATTGTTAAAATTGAATGTTTCTTAATGTTACCATATGTTCTCAAGATAGAATGAACCTGAGACACTGAGGTTTGCAACTTTTATTTTAAGAATGAAGATGTAATTTTGACAAAGATAAGCGTGGGGTCACTATTCTGTCTTGCTCACAGAGTCTGGTAAAAGAGCAATGAAGAAGACGAAGTCAAGTGATGTATTGCATGGGTGATTAGGTCTGTCTTTGTTACTGTGTAAGTGTGTTTACCCATATTCAGGGATAGGCATGAAGATATTTAAAAGACACTCCACCAATTCAGTCCCCATCAGCAGCATAGTAGTTCATTGTCTTGTGAGGCCCTGGAGGAGTGTTGTCAAGTTACCAGGAGATGTCATAGTCATGTTGCATTGACATCCCAACACTAAACGACGCAGGTGGAGAGAGGGAGGGGGAGAAAACAGAAGCTGGGGAAGCGAGCTCGGCTACAAACTAGGCTAAAGGATAACTCATACAGACCAGCTCTCTCTGTTCCTCATCCACTACAGGTCTCTTAAAAACAAGATGGATGCGATCAGAATCAGAATTACACCTTGATTGTGTCACTTTCATCACAGAGACCCGGCTGAACAACACCCCGGAAGCGGCAATTAAAGAGCAGAGGAGGAAGCGTGTATTTACGTTAACAAAAGCTAGTGCACAGCCACGGACATCGTTTACGAACACTGCTGCCCAGACCTAGAGCTCCTCATGGTTAGGTGCAGACCGTTCATTCTTCCAAGGTAACTTACAATAATAACAATTATTGCAGTATGCATTCCCCACAAGCTGACACTCAGGTGCTTGGGCACCAAAATCAACTAAGATGAAAAGTTCCTTGTAGGAGCTTTAATATGTCTGCTATATATAAAGGTGTGTTATGCAAACAATGCAAAGGCTTTGTCATTCAGCTTGATTGTTGCCATGATGGAGACCAGCACCTGTCAGACCCATATTGTAATATAAAAAATCATCAAAACATCAAAATTATGTGGTTGCGATTGTGACACACAGAATCACGGATTTGTTCAGCAGGAAACGCTTGATAGGCTAACAATCAGGTCTACAGTGAACAGCCTGCCTCCTCTTCCTATAAATATAAAATCATCAAGGCCAAAGAATTATTACTAAAACACGATTCAGAAGTCTTTGCTCTGAAGTGAACAATCAAAATAAAAAGACTTTGACTTCAATACATTTTTGAAAAGGGGGAAGGGGTCCCGATGATAATTTGACAAATCTTCAGGCGTTTTTGATAGGGTTGGACAGAAGTATTAAACTTAAAGTATATTTTCAAGTGTATAATTCAAAAGAGTTAGCAAGCATATGTATATTACTGTCTGGTTATTTTACTTTAATAAAGTTTTTAAAAATTTACTTTGAGTGCCCACAATTTTATGGTAGCTGCATATTTGTTTTTGGCAATACAAGGTTAAATTCACAATGATGGAGTCTTTCCCCTCACCATCCAGTCCTTTTGCAGCTCTTTGAATGAAAGAATGAAAGTAATCTCTGCTGCTAGCACATTGAAGTTATTTAAAAATAGGGATATTGTAAATGTGATGTGTTTGCGTGATGCATGTGTGTCTGTTTGCTTGTGTGTGTGTGTGGAGAGCGAGAGAGGGAGAGGGAGAGGGAGAAATTGAGACAGAGAAAAGGAAAATAAGTACCTATAACCCACAACAAAATTTGCTGAAGACAATAAATGGTGCAAGTCTCACTGTAGCATTATGTCATGAATGAATTGAGAATGTTTGTAAAAACAAAGCAACAGGTTGAATTGTGGCTTGGAGAGAAGAAACCTCTTACGTTATCTCCATAATAATAAGAATATTTAATATGATTAAGAATATTTCCACGGAGGCTGATGTTATTGCAGCATCTTATGTTGAGCTTTTGTTGCACTTAATCAGTTTAATTTACAAACCAAATGTTTTGACCATGTTATGACACGACATCTTGCCTGTTTAAGTTCACATCTGTGCTTTATAAAAAAAAGCAACTTGTAGATATTTGCAAGGGGGAGACAGAGACAGAGTGCCCAATATCAGTTAAGAGTTAAGTCTTTGAAAGAAAGATCATCAGTTACTTTCACAAAGCTTCAGCCCTGCTGCTATGTATAGCACCAGTAACATCTTACAGTGTGTTCTCACTGAAGAGTTCATGGGGTTAAGGACATGGGAAGCCCTGCAGTACAGGGAATCCAGGGACTCAAAAGTGGCAACCACAGGCATCCAGGTTGAACAGGCATGAAGTGGAATGCAGGCAAATCTCTGGAAGTGGCAGAGAGTCTCAACCGAGGCAGAAAGCACTGGTGGGGTCCGTTGCAGTAAGACGAGCTGGTGTTGGCTACTTCACAGCAACCAGGGTTGATAATACCCAGGGAAAAGAATGGCAACACCTCATTCAGGAGAGAGATTAAGCAGGGGCGAGGAAAGTTCCACCCAGCAAGATGGTGAGGTCGGGACAGCAAGTGGCATGGATGAGCTATGAAAGTGCACTATAATGAAAGATCTCATGGTCTAACATCTGGCAAGCAGACTAAACTCAGAAAAGGTTCTTGGTCCAAGCTGTCTACGTAGCCCTACCCAGTCCAGCATGATCTGATGTCTGGGGCAACTGCTGACAGCATAGCCATCAACAACACCAAAGGCCACAACAACAAAACTAAAAAGAAGCTAAAATTAAGCAAAAGGAGCCCAAACTCAAGATTCCAGCTCTTTAACCAGGTAAGATTATTGAAAACAATATCATTTTAAGAAGCCTGCCTCTATTTTTATCGTTTTGGATTAAAAGCATTTATTGAGATTAATTAATTGAGTTTAGAGAGATTCTGCGATGATGTGTTCTAGAAAGGCTTTTACATGTCATTCACATACCTAAATGAGTGGCTGGAGCTGCTCTTGAGAAGATGATCAGAGGCCTTATTAACAACCATGACACAAAATGGAGTCTGAAATATGTGAGCGCCATTTCCAACACAAAAGTTATGATCAATACAAACAAATTTGACAGGAGATGTGTGCACTTGCACGCATACTCTGACGCATGTGAATGAACATTTTGGAGATGAGAAAGTGGTGATGCAGATGTAAGGTGGTGAATTGAAGCCAGATTATAGTTCCATCATAAACATTAAACCAGCAGTGTTATTTATGCTTACACAACATAACTGTTCCATAGAAACCTCTAATTGTAAAAGATATAAAACAACTTAAAGTAAATTATGGTTAGATAGACCATAAAATAGCAATAGAGTTTCAGAATTGAGCAAATAATAGTTTTCAAAAATATCTTGCATGTATCACCAAATACAACATTAATTTTCATTTAGGTTGTTTGTAAAATCGATGAAATGAACATGACTGTGTTGTCATGCAGAGTACAGTGAAGACTACTTAAAAATGATATAAAAAAGTGATAAACTCCAAACTTCCATTTCCAAATAATATCCAGGGGTAGAGTTTACGATACCACTGATTGTTCCGATCAATTTGTCAATGTGTGAAGCGATCGGTCCATATGCTGTAAACATATCAATACTGTGGTAACACTTGTGTGTATTGCTGCATGATGGAAGCAGATATGTTCATCATTTCATTTCCATTCAGTTAATTCAATTAGTAAAACACAAATAATATGGGACATACTTTATACTCAACTAGCACAGTGAATGACCTGGAGGCAAAACTCCATCTGAGAACAACTGGATGCTACTGCAAGAACTGTAAAATGTCCCCCATATACTATTGTATTTATTAACTCACATAATGTTGCCATTGCCCCTTGTTGGGTGTGCCAGTACAGCAGCATTTGACACAGTGGACCACAGCATTCTTTTAAACAGACTGGAGCACTGGGCGGGGATATGTGGCCAAGCGTGGGAGTGGTTTGCTTCCTTACTGTCTAACAGGAAGCTCTGTGTGTCAGTCTTGGGGCCTATTTTATTTTTATTGTACATGCTTCCCCTTGGGAACATAATTCACAGGCGTGGTGTCTCATTTTATTGTTAGTCTGACGATACACAGTTGCACTTGCCTGTAAGACGCAAAGACCAGGTCATGCTGAGTTCACTCACTATGAAATAAAAAACTGGATGTCTCAAAACTTTCTTAAGCTGAACTGAACAAAACAAAGATTTTTGTCATTGGGTCCCAAATACTGCCATCTTCTGGTTTAACTACATAAAGCCTTTGGCAAAGAATATGGGAGTCTGGCTTGACGAAAAGCTACGTTTTGAGTGGCACACCACTAAGCTTGTGCAATGCTGTTTTTATCACCTGAGAAATATTTGTAAAATACAATCCATGCTAACTTTTAAAGACACAGAGACTATTTTTACAGACTCCAGACTGTCCAGAACTCAGTTGCCAGGCTTTTGACCAGAACTAAGAAACATTCATGGCCTTGCTCCCTGCTACACTGCTGACCTTTTAAAACGTTGAGATCGTCTGCAAGAGGTCACTTGTCTGTTACAGAGGCCCGGCTAAAAACTAAGGGGGACAGAGCATTTGCAGTCCGGGCCCTGAGGCTCTGGATCAACCTGCCCATAGAGATCAGGTCACTGACTCAGTGAACTCTTTTAAGTTGCCTTTATCGGAGAGCCTCTCCTGATTTTACCTGAGTCTTAACTTTCTGAATAACCGTCTTTTAATTTATTTGACTGAGCATTTTACACAGCACTTGTATTTATACACTAATGTATTTACCTGTTTCTTCTAAACCTTATGTTTTATGGCCTATCGGTTTTTATGTTGCCTTTGTAAAGCACTTTGTTTTGAAAAGAACTGTATAAATGAAGATTATTCTTGTATATATTATACAATGTGAAGCAATTGAAAACCCTTGCCAGACAATCATGACAACACAGCTCATGGAGTAGCCGGTGAAAGTCCCTGAGCTGCTCTTACGGGTGGCCTTGTGAAACACCACACAAAGGAGCTTCCTCAACAAATATAGTATAATATAGTACAATGCAGCAACTTGATTGTTTCAGCCAGTCTTAATCCTCTATTCGTGGGGGGGGGGACAGGGGAATACTCACTGGTTGTGTTTATATACGTGATTTGCACGACTAACCCAAATACACATAAATGATCCCAAAGAGTGTTTTGAGTGTTGTGAAAATCTGTGTTGCATTTGGTGTGATCACACCACTAGGGGAGTTGCTGTTGGCCATGGTGATCCTGATTTTGTCAATGAGCACCATGCAGACACACCATCTAGGTTTGGAGCATGGGGACAGAACAAATGATCTGAATGGAGCCTTTCTGCTCCTGTAAAGTTTCTGTTAATGGAAGGTTTCAGAGAAACAAATATTGGCCAGCAGACTGACCAAAACACCCCAACACCAGTTCATGAGATAGTCCTTAGCACAGAAAGAAAAAGAAAAGCCTCCTGTTTATCCTCCAACTCTGGTTTAGCCAACCCTGTCCTGTCACAATAATCTCCACATCAACAGGCTCTATACGAGTTCTTTTAGTGCACAGAAAAACCTCAGTGAAGGCAGGGAAGATGTCTTTGCCCATTTATTTAGGACTTAGAGATAGAAAGATAGACCTATACGTGTTAAAGGGAAAAAGCCAAACAGATGATTAGGCAATTAAATTAGTGTTTGGAACAAAGGTGCCTAAAAGTTTAGACTCCATGGGTAGCCAACTAATCAGATAAGGCTGTTGTTGCTACATTCCAGTTGTTTCTGAGAAAGATTCTTTCTTAGCTAATAAAACACTAAGCTGACTAATATCACTCTGTTGTGTCAGGTGTTCTTAGCAAGGTGAAGAGCAACGTCCAGGTTAGGTGATCTGTGATTAAATTGTTGACAGGTGTCTTCAATCAGGCCATACAATATTCCATACTGTATGTGTTGTAATGAGTAAGTCAATATGTGAAATGCAACAGTGGTATTTTACTTACATTTGTTCCACTAAGATTCATAGAGTTTGATGAGGACACCAGTCACACCATTCCATCTTTAGAATGAAATTATTGGGCTGCCTAAAGAGAAGCTGGCATTAAGCTATAGATGGGAGTGATTGGCCAATGAATCAGTATAATAAAGAGGATGATTGGCTCAACGGTCAGAAAGGAATAGAAGAAACAGGGAAAGGACTAAGGCACAAGGATGGAAAGAAATAAAGAAATAAACTGGAAGTGGATGAGAAGATGTAGAGAGGAGTACATAATAGTGCAGAGACGGTAGGAGGAGTGTCAAAGAGGCGAGAAAAGTCAGGAGAGGTGAGAAAAAGGAATGAAGGGAGTGTCACAGCCATGTACAGTTTTGACCAGATACTTTATATTTACTGTCAATCTAGACTGTCATGGGTATTTTGATCTCCATGTTTTTATTCTTTATCAAGACCAATTGCTGCATTCACACCATACAGTGAATATACAGTAAATCATATCGCTCCATAATACCAGTCAACCTCAATGGCAAAATTATTGGTGTTATTATTGTGATGTTAATTAAAATACAGATTCAAAGTGAATGTGTTTTAATGAAATCACTTAAATCAAAATCCTGATGTGAACTGTTCATTGTTATGGTTTTCATAAAAGAACAGGTTATATCAGTGAAAAGTACTACATGTAATATCACCATTATTTAATAAAAAGCATTCATGATCATTTTGTTGTGAATGATCCATAAAACATTCCATCTCCATCAACAATAACTTTTACTTTGACATTTTTTCAGTTGTTAAGTTAGTGGTGTTACTAAACTCTGCCTGGATATGTTTGGCATTAACATCAAACCAGAAAAGAGGAGAATTTTGACCACTGGAAGACACAGGAGATGTTAAGTTTAACTAATGCTAAATTAACCAAGACTGAAAACAAGTTTAAAGGTAAGCTTGAAGCTCAAAGAAGGTTTTGGACATGTGCAATGTTTTGATGAGTCATAATGCAATTTGCCACTGAAGTTGCTGTGTTCAATCATAATGTGAATCCAGTTGGATAAAAATTCATTGTCTAAACATGATTTATGACTGTGAGGTGAGGGAAGTTTTAGCCATCAATCATCACTCTCCTACCCGTGTTAGATCTTGACGCTCTCAATGCCGTAAACGTTGTAGCCTTCTTTATAGGTGGCGTAGTTTGGCTGGTGGCTTGGGGACAGCAGGTTGAAGTTGGGGGCATGTTGAGGAGAAGACAGAGTGTGTGTGTAGTTTCCTGTGTGCTGGGGGGACGACAAGGTGTTGGCTGCAACCTTTATAAGAAAATAAAGTCATCGTTACTACTATACTGATTGTATTTATGTAACAATGAAGCTGTGTGACAATAAATGTTTGAGAAGCAATAGCCCCATTAGTGCTGAAAAACTGCAAAAGCAAAATTGTATTATGAGGGAGAGAGAGAGAGAGGTCTGTCTACACATTAAAATGTGAATAACACATTAGCATGCGTTTGTGTGAACATCCCGATGTCATGTTAGAAACAATAAAATACAAGACAACTATTTCACAGAGAGGAAAAATACTACGATAACAGGTGAAAAGCAATGCATTTCTAGATAGAGATTTTACAAATAATTTAAATTCAGATGGTATCAATGTTTTAGATGGTCCAATTACTTCTTGTAAATATATCCACCAAGCACTTTAATATGAACATCTATACATAAACTTATTGATGGAATTGTGCGCAGCAGTGCAATATCAACATCAAAAGGGTCAGGTGCTTCAGTTCAGGTTCACAAACTGGAAACATTTTGAAAAAATGTAATCTCACTCACTCGCTAGTGCCAGAAAAGGTGAACCTGAGTGTGGAACATCTTATTTCTGAGGATTTTTACAGAGTTGCGTGGACAGAAATGCTTTGTTGGATAGAGATGAAGAAGAAATGCCCATCTCAAGTCCAGAAGGTGACATGAAATGAAATGTCTGGTCAAGGAAAGAAGGGCACTGGGTAACCGGTGGAGGAAAGCATCAGAGAAAGAAAGAGTGATTATAGACTGCACCGAGCAGAGAATCCCAGAGTTTGTTGCGAAAAGAAGAACAAGGACTTTTATAATGGTGAGTGGCTCCCTCTCATAATGCTAAAAATAGCATAGCCACCGCTGTCCCTATCACCCCAATCCTACTTGCTTCTACAGAGGCTCCACCTGGCCCAAGCATTGAATCGGTAGTCTTTCTGCTGAAATTAAAGACCAATTGCCCCCCTGGACTTACCATCAGTCATTGACTCTGTTGCTTTACCCATTAAGACAATGAACTGTTTGGGAGGAGGGTGGAAAAGACAGTTTAGACAGCTTAGGCAGGTCTCAAGTAAAAGACCAGACTCAACAGTGAAGGAAGAGTTATAATTGAGCCAGACTTTGTCTTACTTTGTTTGCTCCTTACCATTGACTCGTGCGCAATGAACCACATCAGGTTATTTCTAATAGTAAGAGTTTGCACCTCCAATGTCCACCTCAGAGTCTCCAAGTATAACCCACCTCTGTAGTCTTACTCCCCTCATAACCCAAAGCCTATTGCTATAGCCTGATAGAAACATAATGCAGATGACTGACAAAAATGTAGAACAGAAACATTTAAATCAAGTTTAAACAAAGTCCACATGAATACAAATATAAATACAGTGGCTTGATGTCTGCATGGAAATTAGTATGGATTTCAGACATGGAAATACTACAATATACATCCCATTAACCACACACCTTTCTGCTTGAAGATATATATTCATTTATCAATGGATTTCAAATCTCTAATCACACAAATTCAGATCCAGATGGTATTTTAGGGAGAATCCTACTTATAGAAGATTCAAGATACAAGTCATACCATTATGTTATTTATATTTGAAATGGATAGTGAGGTAAAACAAAAATTAGTACCTTCATTTTTTTGGCTTCAGCACGGCTCTTGTAGCAGAACTCTACCAGTGCTACCATCATGGCTAGACCCAGACCTCCAACCAGGATGTAGAAGACACCTGCTACGTTACTAAGAGACAGAGCACTGGTCTTCTCCTGGTATGCGCACACACACACACACACGCACACACACACACAACCAAGAAGACGGCAGTCACCCAGAGAAGAGAGGAGTTAGTGGGGTGTTTTTATGTTCACAGCTAAATTGAATGACTGACACACTATCAATGAGTGAGTGCTGTAAAGAGCTGTAGATAAGGACAGTAAAAAGAGCACAGACAACTAAACTAAATCTGACCTGCACGCATATAAACATATTTGAAACACAGTTTCTCTTTGTTGCTTTCTGTAACTGTCAGTGAATATATATACATATATATTTTTTGACCCCACTGTATATTTATACATACACACAACAATCACACACAAACATATATATACACATTAGCTGTTACTTAAGTCCAATGTTAAAATAAACAATAGAAACAAGGGGAACACTATTTTTTCTGCATTTGGCTTGGGAGTCAAATATCTCTGCATCCGGAACAGTTAACCAATATTAGTTCAATATAAGTTTCTTATTAAGCTTTTGGACTTTTGGTCATCATGCTCCATATACAAGTATTTACCTAATCAGTGGAAATTAAAGGCCAACTATTCGAAATAACAACTTCTATTAATGTAATCTGAAACAACAATCTCGAAAGTATCATTTTTGTAATAAGTATCATTCATGGCAATCGTAACCTCTATGCAATGGCTGGCTTTTCTATCTTCTGACTTTTGCTAACTGCCAGTGTGACAATTCAAGATAGGTTTAAAAACATTTGCCTTTAGAAATGAGCAGACATAGCTCCTTTGAAGCACACTGAGCCCATCAACCAACACAGGTATTTTTGCATTTAACATTTCTATTAGAACTGTGAGTATTAGATAAACATAATTGGCCTCATACAAAACATTTGTGTCCTAAAAGTTTCTGACCTTTTTTCTTGTTTGAAAATTGGTTCCGATTTGGATTTGCCCAATTTTCTTAACCAGAGCAGCTTTTGTCATTTTTTAAAATTATTACCAACCTATCCTTGTCTCTCCCAACTACTAAAACTGTCATGTCAGGGTAACTTCATGTGTGAGAAAGTCTTAAAGGAGAAGTTCGGTTTTTTTCAACCTGGTCCTTATTTCCTCTACTCACCCATAAAGGTTTGGAGTAACTTGGAGTCCATCGGACGCTTTTAGATCCACACGCGATCGGCGTATATCCATACAACGCAAGTGACTGGGGCATCCACAATACAGCCTCTAAATAACACATTATCTGCCTCGAAACTCTTTATTGACTATGAATCACCAGCACTGGTCCCCTGTGAGTCTCGCCAGCCTCGGAGCTAGCGTCAGCTTAACGAGTTGCTTTGTTTACATCCTGGGCTTTCACTGGGGTGAGGTCACCGAGGTGCGCAGCCGCAGCTCAGTTGACGATCAGCTGTGTTTGCTGCTGCTAGTTTTGCGCAACATGGCAGAATACTTATCAGGTGCTTCACAGTACAGTATTCTTTTAAAGCAGCTGTGTCCTGGTGCTCGGGCGTATTCACCCGGTTAAAGGCTAGCTAACTTCAGCTGCAGCCTCAGAGCCAGCGTTAGCTTAGCAAACCAATTTGTTGATTAAACAGGAAGACAACTTGCTCTCGGTTCGCTAAGCTAACGCTAGCTCCGAGGGAGGCGAGACTCACAGGGGACTAGTGCTGGCGATTCATAGTAAATACAGAGTTTCGAGGCAGACAATAAGTTATTTAGAGGCTGTATTGTGGATGCCCCAGTCACTTGCGTTGTATGGATATACGTCGATCGCGTGTGGATCTAAAAGCGTCCGAAGGACTCCAAGTTACTCCAAACCTTTATGGGTGAGTAGATCTACATACCATATGCTGGAAATAAGGACCAGGTTGAAAAAAACCTAACTTCTCCTTTAAGCCCCATGAGACAAATTGTGATTTAAATAAAATTTGATTGATTGATTGATTGATTGATTAAAAGAATTTCAGCAAGTCCTGACCATTTAGCACAAAATTACAGACTTGTGTGGTTGTATTGGAGAATCCAAAACAATTTGAAAGTAATACCAGTACATCTGGTAATGACATCATCATCATCATCATCAGAGCAGCACTGTGCTGTGACAGAGACAGCATAAACAAAGACGGAATGATTTGGACTCCATGAAGTTGGATCCAGGAAAAAAAAATTCTTAAGTAAAGCAGTCCATGAATAATATGAGAGCTAGTCAAGGGACCATAACGGAGAATATTACAGCTTACATTAGATGAAGATAAATTGTCAGTGGGGATGATACAGAACAAAGATCTTGTAATCTTGTAAACACTGTTGTGTGGGTGATGAAATAAGGCAGTAAAATAAATTGGCATGAAGGTTTATTTCTAAAGCACCTTTCACAGACACTAGTCATTAGGTGCTTAAAATGATGACACCAAATTTAAATAAGAAAATAAAGCACAGTTTAGGGTCAAATGAAATGAAAGCATGATCCAAATTTCTAAGGTTCACCATTGGACCCAAGACCTCAGCTATAGGCACATTTTATGTTTATTTTGTTACAGATGTTTCATAAGTATTAGATATTTAGATATTAAATCTCCAAATTCCACTGACTCAATAAAGATGAATAAATAAAGATAAAAACCCAAGTGAGACAAAAGCAAGTGTTTTCCCCTTGTGAGGAATATTTCACGATGACTTGATAAGTCTTGAACAATGATAAATTTCACTCGACAAATAATTCTAAGTTCATGAAAACTTATGAATTTCAACATTTTTCTTAAATTGCTTCCTTCCTAAACAATCATCATCAAAAATGCAACCATTAAACTTTTTGGGGAACCTGTATTGTGTACATCCAGATTTGCAAACTGTCTGCCTCTGCAGTATACATTGAATATCCCTACTATACACACTACAGTGTGATTAAGCACATCAGCATTTTAGTCCCAACCATGTATCTGGCTGTGTCTAATGTGTGAATACTGTAAATAAATCTACATCTTACTTTACAGAGATCAAAAATAATTCTGTCTAAAAGAGTTTTCAGACAGACAGACAGACAGATGAATGGATGGACAGGCAGACATTAACTTGTGTTAAAAACGAACAGCTGAATATTCAACAGACAAAATACACAGTGGACTCAGTGGATTTGAGTTTATGTTCTACTGTTTTCAGGACACCAATTGTTTTTCTTCAATTCAAATCAATTTCATCTGTATAGTGCCAAATCACAACATACTTTATCTCAAGGCACTTCACATAGTAAGGTACAGACTTTACTATGTAAATTGTACTTTACATACCAAAGTATTTGTTTGTTCTTATCAGCATTATACTTACAGTTTTGAGGGTTGAAGCTCCATGCTTCAACCTGGGGGTGTCACTGACATTACTTAAAGGTGTAACTAACCTGTACTAACAATGCGGTGTTTGTTTTCTTTTTCAGTTTCATAGATATACAGACATATACAACTACTGCAATTATAGAGCTATGGTAACTGTATGTTAAATATGCAGACAGATAGTGTGTTCGACTGATTCACAGACATATACAACTAACCTTATTGGTGGAGTCCTTGAAGCCACATTCTCCTTTATCGTACCACCACTTGTTTTTCATCTTGTCTAGGGTCCCTTGCTCATTCAGTTTCAATACGGCAAGGTTTACTGGCACTCTTCAATGGGAATAACATAAATAACATCATTATCAATGTTATCTTATGTTATTGGTGAGGCAGTGGTTCTCACACTCTGCTCCAGCAACCAAGAGAGGCCCACTCATGTTTCTCATGAATGCTTCAATGATTAGTTTTACAGGAGATTTTTAGAGCAAATATTTAAGTTAAATGTCCATCGATTGTCGAATGGTGAATAAAAGCTGTTTAAAATAAAGTGCTGTATTGTAAGGGCCCCTCTGTTTGGCCCCTGAGACAGAGGATGAGATGTGCTGCATTGAAAAGCCTTTCTGCTGCTGTATTTAAGCAGCAGTATACCTCCAGTCCAGAGCCATAGATAAGTAGAGTTTGGCTGGATTGCACACACTCTTTATCAACAACTCATCTCTTGCACTGTTGCTGCCATCTGGTGTGAGGTCACCTGACCCTGGCCTTGCCCCTGAAGCCTGCCCTACCCCTGACCTCAACCAAACAGGGTGCAACACAATGGTGAAAGAGGCAGCACAGACTACAATGCTACCTGTTAGTGGTGCTTATTAGCAACAGCTTCATATGGTATCTACGTGCAACATCCATGAGCAATCTTTCATTCTCACATTTATGTGACGTTGCTTGACATTGCTGTTTAGGGTTCACATGTAGCATTGTTACTGTGCTGCTTCTTTAGCTTTTTTTCTATACACATCATAGCCCAGTGTTACCTTCATGTTTGTGTGTAGTGTGCATATGTGTGTGTATTAACCTTGCTCTCCCCTCCTCCGCTGCCGCATTCTCCCTTGTCATACCACCACTTGTTTTTCAGTTTGTCCAGCAGCCCCTGCTCGTTCAACTTTAACACCGCCAGGTTCACCGCATTTCTACATGAACACAGTGGCTGTTAGCAGTTCAGTTGTTGTCACTTGAGTCTTCCTGCTGGTATGCATATTAGCAGCATGAACTCTTAATCCTGAGCATAAACAGAATAAACACAGCTGAAATTGGCCCTTTTTCTTAGCAGCAAACTCATCAGTTGTAGATAGGATCAGCTTTAACATGTCTTGACAGCTATGATCAACCTGCTGAATAAACAAGAATGCTAAGTTATGTTTTGAAGTCAAACTCATCGAACCATAGAGATACAGTTGGGTTCTGATAACAAGTTCTCAGACGACAAATTACTAATATTTTTGATTCTCAAGGAGAAAAAACGCTATACAGAACATCAACTTATCAACTTTCTTTGGTTTTTGGCTGGCATTGACCATTGATTTTGTCAATTTATAATACAGCTTGCCAAAAAGCACAATCAAAACTCTTTTGTTGTATGTTCAAGTTTCTCTCTACAAGCTGTTCTTGTGTGAGAGTTTCAATCATTTCAATTTTCTGAAGCACTGGCCATCAGCTCTATTGGTGATGGGGGCACCTGAGATCTGGGAATTTAGAGTTTGGTGACATCACCAAAATAAAGCATCCAATCGGGCAACAAAAATTAGAGCCAAGAAAATCCAACAGTTTTTAAGTAAGCCAACTAAAAGGAAATGCCTTCAGCATGCAAAAATATGACTCTGTTCAGTGTCTGGCATTTATGACTAAACACAACAAAAATTCAAGATGCATTGAGATGTGGTCACTCAGATCACGTTTGGATTTGGTCTCTACCACGTATGGTAACATCCGGGACAGCTTTGGCTCAGAAGTACTGGCAGTCCAATCCCAGTTTCCCCCTCTGCATGTCAAAGTGAACTTGGGCAAGATACTGAACCCCAAATGGCCCCTCTGCCAACAGCATTTGAGTGATGTGAAATACAGATCGTGCTCCCCATACATGTACTGTAAGAATGTGTGAATGGGTAAATTTTTACTGAAATGTGTTCTGAGTGGCCATCAAGAGTAAAAAAAGCTCTATATAAATGTAGATTATTTACATCAATGTGTCCTGGACCCCACAGACCACCTACAATTTATATAATCTGCACAAGCAGATATTTGTGCTCATTTGCAAACAAATTCCAGTCTTACAAATCAAGTAACTAGACTTCTACTTCAACGTCTGTAAAACTTTCAAAAAGCCCAGAGATACAAAATTATATATCTTATTATATCTTGTCCATGTGTGATCATATCTCCCAAGAAAGATGTTAAGGCAGGATATGAACGGGGCTTGAATCAGATCTAACTACTCATTTGTCATTTTAGAGATAGTACCATGGTCTCATGTGATTGTAACAACAAAAATTAACAACCACATTGTAATACATGTTCTCTCTTAGGGTTCCGGAGTCAGGGGTAAGGTTAAAGTTATTACTGAATTAGATTAAGGTGGGGCGAAAAATATTGGGAAAATGGCCAAAGGTGACGCACCTCTCTGCCGATATCACTAAACAATATACCATGTCTCTCTGGAGAGGATCTTGCTGTGTCATGTCAAGTTCAATTCTTTAAATCTCTTAGACTTCCAGCAACAACTTTTAAGTGACAGCTTAAAATGATCTGCTTCTCTTTCAGGACTTTCAGATTCACATTTGTATTCATAATGTTCTAGTATGTTAAGACTAAACAAATGCTTACTCTGGGTTTTCCCACATGACCAGACCAGGAACTGGTTGCACAAAGTTAGTCACTAACTAGTGTTGATAATAGTATATAACAAAGTATCCTTTCAATATTTTGCTAAGCAAACAATCACTTTATGCAGATCTCTCAAATCCTAGGAGGATGAATACTACGGGAGTAGTGGAAAGATAGAAAGACAACTCTAAAAATTAGAAGGCTCTTTCTTTGCTTGGGACCCCCACTCTTCTGACAACCATGGTTCCTCTGCTGTTTGAGGACAAGCTGGGTGGCAACAATGCAGAGAGTGATGCACTGAGCTCTTTGACATGGTCCACTTAGACAAAAAGAGGGCTCACTGAATCTTTCTTGTCCAATTTTCTCTTCATTGAGAATGCACTGCTTATCTTTGACCACAGTCAAGTCAGATGTAGTCTTCATCTTTCTGCCCTTCTTGCCTATAGATTGCATCAGGGCTCTCTGAGGTGTGCCCACAGCCCAATTCATATTTCCTAGGGTTGTTGATTGAGCCTGTAGGTGTTCCACAGATGATCTTTCATCTTTTCGCCCACCACCATTCTTTAAGTATAGGAACAAAGGCTCAACACATTATGCCCTGTATGGGCTCTGCATGTGAGCATGACAGCAGGATTCAGCAAAGCTTATCATCTGTTTATGGCTGTAGACAAGTACTGAATCTTTGTGCAACCAACCCAATGGTTTACTTTAATGGGTGTTTTTTTTGTATCTAAAAGATCCTCAATCCAGCAGGAAGCGTGTTCTATTTAATAATATTGATGTAATGGTACGACAAAGGCGGTGAAATAGTTGCGAGTGGTATGCTCTATTTCATGCATAAATCAAGTGAACCTGTCAATAGCAAACTTTGTGTGTTATGTATTGTATCAATGAAGGCTTATGTTCTGTCAGACATTTAAAATACTCTAATAGCATCACGTAGTCTAAAAATGTTTCTGATAACAAGGCATGGGCTCACATCACAACCAATTTGATTAGTTATAAACACATGTGAATTAAGCCCTTCAGTTTCAGCTTTTTTTCTGATCTGAACCCAGCATTTACATTATAACATTAATGATCCACTTTGACTTCAATAGGGGCAATATTGAAAAAAATTATCAATTGAAAACAGTTAGATCATGCCAGGAGCAGAGACATGAGAAAAGTGGAAAATCATGTTTGCAGGTATTCAGTGCATAATTCAAGCACTGTTGATCTATCAAGAGTTTTACTGACTGAAAAATGAACCAACAAATATGTCTCTGGTTCTACCATGATAAAGGACAACAGCAATCATACACAAAATTTTTGTTAAGCTTAAAGCTCCATTAAGCAATATTTTTGGTAGTAAAAATGAGGGTTACCAGAGTAACCAAAGGTGTTCTCTGTTATCCTTATTCTAAAGCCAATCCCTATAGGTTTTACTGAATTATCATCCCACTATCATCGGATCCAAAAGAAAAGCTCTTCACCAGCAGATGATCTGATTGGATAATCATTTCATTGAAAAAACTAAACAAAAAATGCTGGAAAAGCATGTGAAATAAATGAGTAGTAAACTGAGGTTAACTAACCGAGCATAGCATGATGTTAGCTAACTAAGAAGATCCTGTTAATTTTCATCAAGCTAACTTTCTTCTTGCTCAAAATATTAGCTGGTAAACCTTTGCTTGGTCTTATACATAGACTGTGGCAATATAAAGATGGACAATGCATCGCCACTATTGAAGTGTGAAAAGTGGCGATCGAGGGATGAAGCCCTAGTAGCAAAATTTTAATGATGCACACGATTTACCAATTGTGAGTCAGTCTGAGCAGTCAATCATGATATTTTTAGCATTAGATAAGTCATTAAAACCAAACTTATCAGAAACTTGGACATTTGACGATACATCAGTGTGACAAGACCTACCCAAAATGACATATTTGAGAAAAATGTATTGGACTTGTAGTTTGCTTTATTAATTTAGTCTATGTTCCATCCGCTAACATGGGGGATGCAGGATTTATGACCTATCCGGCCATCAGCCCTTGGGTGGCAATTGAGACAATTTAGCTTCACTTCTAGGGAGCAATGTTGTCCATCTTTGTATACAGTCTATGGCCTTACAAAACAGATGAAGGAGATGTATATGGAAACTAACCATTAGTCCTCTGCAACTCCTTAGCTCCATACATCTCTTCAGCCGACATCCACGCCCACATTTGAATTATCCAATCACCACCAAAGGATTTGATTTAAATCACACTTTTGACCAAACCCTGTTCACATATCTGTTTCAATCATAAATATGTCATATTACCTATGGCACTGTGGCTTCATTGATCATCTTACATCATCCTAAAAAGAGACCTTTCATCTACTTGCTGCTTCTAGTATGTCCCATCTGGAGCTGTCTCTGGTCTGTAGAGATGCATACTTGTCCTAGTTCCTTTTGGTTATTTAGTAAAGAGGATTTCTTTTGGCTGTTCAGGTTGTTCTGTTTAAGTTAATACAACATCTTGAACTTTGTTAATATGATGGAGTTTTTGGAGACCTATTACTATGAGTTGCGACTACCATTTTGTCTATCAAAATAATTGCTTAATGCAGCTTTAATTGCAAATTTAACGATTAAAGAACATTGAAATCATCATTAAAACATTCTGCAGGCCAAGGTTAACTTTCAAAACCATCTGACAGAGACAAAGGAGGATAGAGAGAAGGGCAGGGCAGACAGAACCACACAGCCATCAGTGTGCTGAAAAGACACAAAAGTGGGAAACAGTGACTAGCATGCAGCTCAACACAGATAAACAAACAAGCAACAAAACACACACACACACACACACACATTTCCTTTTAAGATTTCTTACTGCGCATATCTTACTGTGCATGTTGCAGTCTGTAAGTAGTAGGACAGTTAGACATTGTAATTTGATTTTCAGCATCCCAGCATATGCACTGAATATGGTTTAAGAATTGTTTTTGCAACTGTTAAA